AAGAGAGCTCACTATTTCTTTTTTTCTTTTTCTCTCTGACCTTTTTTTTTAAATGAACATGTGTAATTAATTATATTGCATATGTGATAAAAAATAAATAAATTGTGCATCGTAGGGTTTCCTTTGTCGCCTTCGTTCGTTGTCGTTGTCTCGATCACTGCACATCCAAGGTAAAAGCTCAACACTAGTATTTCAAATTTCTATGCATAAAATATAAGTGTACTCATGACCGCTTTTATTAGCGAGTAAGGAAATATAAGTATCCGTTGTCGCTTTTATTAGCAAGCGGGGAAATTCGTATGCATGAAATATAAATATCCGTGATCGTTTTTATAAGCGAGTAGAGAAATTTATTTTTTATAAAAAAATTTAAGTACCAGTCTTTGCCTTTTTTTGCGGGAAAATATTGTTTTTTAAACAGTTACTTAAAGACCCCATGACACTTTTATTAGCGAGCGGGGAATGAGACTGCGGCCGTGATCTTACCTGACACTTACCGTGACTGTCTTTCTTGGCAGGCGTGAATGTTTTACACTTCTGATGCAGTCCCCAACACATGGACGATGTTGGAGTGCTGCCGAAACTTTAAACAAAATTCATGACTTAGAAAATTTAAAAAAAATTTAATCTACATAAATTTTTAAGTCAATTAAAAATAGTTAAAACATATGACGTCATAGGTTTTCGACATTGACAATAAATATAGAAAAAATTCAAATCATAACAAAATGCAATATACAATGAACTTGTAATGAAATTAGTTGTTCGCAAACATATATGAATCAAGCTTCTTCCTTCTAGCTCTTGACTTGCACACATGTAAGTCCCCTACCAAATTTCTTTGTAGAAATGAAATGTGAAGAAAATGAACTGAGCATTCATCCTATTTGTAACATTGAATTCAAATTATTTGTAGGCCCTGCCAGCTTATGATTCCTTTGCTAAAGGACATTGAAGGTACACCTGTGGGCCCCACAAGTCTAGGATCCCTTTGCTAAAAGACAGAGAAGGTACACATGCAGGCCCCATCGATTTAGGATCCTAAGATGTTATTTCGAGGCTTTCGCCTTGGATTCATAGAGTATTCACCAGCTTGTGAATTACGAGCGTAAATACACCTGAATACAAGCAATAATTTTCTTGAAAAAGGGGAAGATAAAAGTAAAAAAAAAATCTACATTTTTAACAAAATGTATTTGCATTAATTGTTAAAATGTAAGAAAATCCATATATATCCCCGATAATTTTCTGGTTAAATCATTCATGATAAAATGAGAAAACGTCCATCACATTGCAAGTTACAGATGCACAAGTGCTTTTGGTAACATGCATGCCAGCTGTTAAAGTTAGGCGGCTCGTACGCCTCGTAAACATCTGTCTTTAGAAAGAAACAAAATAGCGCACTGTTATGTTTCACGGGTTGTACGACCCTTAACTAAAGTATGCACATCGTGCCAAATCACTGAAAGAGTCTCACGAGCATATGACCAATGTGTAATGAATATGATAGTGTTATATGGTCAGCATCAAGGCATAAGCAGATGCATTCAACCCCACAAGCAAAGAAATTGGAATTGATTGTTGTCTTCACACGAGTCATGCAAGAAGACATAGTAGCCCCTTCTGCATCCACTTGCAAGCACTAATGGAAGCTTTTAATGTCTTGAGATGTAAGCAACAATTGCTATAAGAATTAGAAAAGTCAATATGCAGGGAAGGATAAATGACATATGCGAGTTCCTATGAGTCATTGTGGGTAAGCTCTCGCGTATGCAAATGCTTATAAGCCATACACCCTGTGTGCACCTATAAACAAAATACATAGTGACAATCAGGTGTAAATGCCTATGAGTTACTTTAGGAAACTCAACGTGTATACGATAGGCCATATGCAATCATCTAAAAATGCAAAACATGAGATTCATTAGTGCACTATGAGCCAACTACAGAAAATAATAAGTAGTGCACGATAGTCTACCTGTACAAAACAGCAAACAACTCAATGCAGAAGGTACTACAAAACACCATCGGATATGCAACATCCTTGCAAGCAGACAGAAGACGTATACAAGCATCCAAATAGAATGCTTTATTCAAAAAATGAGGTCACCCGTCACCCGCACAGTTGATCGGCGTTAAAATATTACAAAAAAATGTCCCTGTATATGCAACGTTGTATGTATATACATAGGTACACATGGGGTAAGTGCAATCACAAAACCCGTGTTGGCTCCGACGAGCTTGTTGTAGGAACACACGTGATGTTTAGCGATGCTGTGCAAGTTATTAAATTTGAATCTGATCATCCTAAGCAAGTAAATAGGAGTCGACAACGTTCATCAGATAATCATAAAATGCCCCTAAACACTGGCATGGGCTCCAGCGAGCGTGTTATGAGCATACATGTAATGTCTAGGAATGCTGCGCGGGTTAAACAATAAACCTAAATTCGAGCACGATCATTCGATATGGGTAGATAGGAGTCGACACGGCTCGAACTATCAAACAAATATACAGTCAGGGTGTCGATCGAAATATCTATTTTATACGTTCATATAAGACCTTCAAGGTCCATGAAAAAGAAAATTCATTCACAAATGCATAAAGCCTACGAAACAGGATCCTTTGTCGACAGCTCGACAGAGTCGATAAGGTTCAATCCACAAATGTAAATAACCTCATATATATCCTGATGATGACCATGTTGAATGTAAATCTCAACCGGAGTGGTCAATTTTAAATATCCAAAATATCATTCAAACTCCCATCAAAACCCCAAAATCCCATAATCCAAATATTTAAAATTGAAATAATCCATCAAATCGCTTAAAGCAAAATCCATCCACCCTCCACAATAATTTGCCGAGGTGGACAAATTAAAATTTACTTTAGCTCACGTAGAAGTAATGTCTAGTCGAAAAATATCACTAAGATTCATTCTCAAAATAATCTCCTGCTAGTAAGGATGCGGTATATGTCCTTTAACCAGCAGTTTTGCCGCCAAATGACATCGCAGGATAAACGGTTATGACCAGTGGTCCTCTGAACCGAGTGATTCTGCCGTCAAATAGCACCACGAGATAATAGTTATGGCTATAGACAATATGTTTCCTAGTGACATCAAATCCTTGAGATATGAATCAATAGGATATAATCGATAAGGCACAAAGCCCTCTATTAGTTAAGGTGGATTCAAATATGTCCCCTTAGACAAACATTTACCCTAGGTCTATAAGGTAGCCTTGGACAGTTGGACGAAGCAACGCATGGATGCCGATAAGGATCCTTTCGTCACGTTAGGTCGACTACCTCCTCTGACTAAGTAGACTAGGGACCACGATGGCCCGGGACGACGGAACAATGGGATCTTGATCGAGTCCATCATCTATTTCCCCACCATCCGTTAAGTTCAAGATGGTGAAATTCTCAATTTTAAATATCAAATTTTCCAACGTTTAACCCATGCTCCTACTATATGCCAGATAACACATCTCTACGTATCTGATTGACAACTAGCCTTAATCGAAAGTTCTCTCTCGTGATCGGGAGGAGTAATTAACTATAAGGGCTTGCGCCTATAGGAAACAAGAACTCAGATCATAAATTTTTCACAAAATGAGGTCGAAATCTTTGGGTAGTGTCTTATCTACAATCACATCTGCCTTCCTAAAATTTACCCCGGAACTTAATTCCATTTTTCGGAACCCACAAGCACGTTTGTTTGTGAATGAGCTCGTTTTGGTAGTTCAAAAAAACTCGCTAGATGTGTTCGTATGCAGGTTTATTTGATAGTTTGAAAACCTTTACTAGATATGTTCATGAATAGACATGTTTGGTAGCTCAAAAACACTCAATATATATGTTCGTGAACATGCTCGTTTTGTAGTTTGAAGAAATCTCTAGAAACGTTCGCGAACATGTTTGTTAGTAGGTTCGATAAAGTTCATTCGTTAAGCTAATGAATATTTAAAAGTAAAGCTAATTATAGCTTGATAAGACTCATTTGTTTAAAGCTCGATAAACATGAAACGAATCGAACAGGAACCAAACATGATATCCATTAACTTAAACACGAACAGGAAAGCTCGAATCGAGCTCAAATAAATATATACAAGCTGATAATAAACAAACACAAACATGAACAAGCACATGCTCGACTCGGCTTGATTCGTTTATAGCCCGACGTGCTGATTTTAAAAGTATTAAAAATAAAATAAATACGCCTATTCGGCACACATCTTAAATATTTTATGATTTTTTAAATATAATTACTTTAATTTAAAAGTTTTATTGATTACAAAAAAATTCTCCTCTCCATAGCCTCAAATTAATCGCCTACACTCAGTCCCCTATTCTTTGAACATTCTCATTTCATTTCTCTAGCGGGTTGTGGTTTGGGTTTTTCAACGACACATAATGCCATCTCAACATCGATGTCTGATACCATCACAACATTATCATTTTATAACCATATGAACATCAAAATTTGACATTGCCTTGACATTAATGCTTGATGCCATCAATTTCTACTCCCACATTCATGCCCCCAGGTTGTCTCGACATTTCATTTTTTTCCTATGTTGTCTCAACATTGACAGCTGGTACGGTCTTGACATCTCAACATTGATGTCCGACTCTCGACAATTTTTTCATCTCCACTCTCGATGCCTGACACACAACATCGATGCCCAGCTCTCCACATCCCAATATTTATCATTTTAAGCATAAATCTTAATTTAATGACTAATTATTTTTTAATTTTTCTTAATATTCTACTTAGTCAAATTCTATACACTATTTTTAAGATAGAAAAATTATAATGACGTATCCAATCTGTATTGTTGTCCTATATTTTCAATAATTAATGTGTTTCGTGTCTGTATTGTGTCCGAGTCTATGCATCATAGGATAGCATTATTCCTATTTTTGTGAGTCATTTGATTGTGGATTGATAATCACTTATGTCACAATTTTGCTGAACTTTTTATTTATTAAAGCAGGAAATGATGGGACTTGCGTACTTTATGCTAGATCAATCAAGGAAGGATTCAGAGACTTGCATGGAAACTGCTTTTAACACCTACTTGGTATAATTTTAACTCCTTTCTTCTCATGATATTTTATTATTTTTTCAAAGATTTTACATTGCCTATAGTACCTCATGCAAAAGCTTTTACAATACAATATTATGTTGCATATTTTTGTGAAAAATCATTTATATACCTTACGGGTGTTCTTACTCTTTTTGTTTTTGGTAAAAACATATTGATGTTTCCTTATATTTTCTGAAGCTCATCTAAGAAAATGATTTAAGTATCATTCTATGCTAATGATTACATCCATATTTGTCTGTAGAAACTTGTGCCTTCAGCTCAGAGAAATGCTACAAGATGTGGGCTCTGGTGGGCAGAAATTCTGAAGGCTAGGGGCCAATATAAAGAGGCAGCTGGCATTTATTTTCGCATTTCTAGTGAGGTGATTTTCTTAACTCAGAGGATAAATATGCTAGCATGTGTTTGTTCTTTTACTTGTGTGCCTATGTATTTATGTCCATTTATGCATATATTTAGAGTATCTTATCAATCATGTTTCTTCTATCTGTGCTCTTGGCGGCTTCTCTTCCCCAGGAACCACCGCTACATGCAGCTGTAATGCTTGAGCAGGCTTCATACAGCTATTTATTTTCTAGACCACCTATGTTGCGCAAGTATGGTTTTCATCTTATACTTGCCGGTAATCGTTACTATGTTTCTGATCAGGTATATCTATTTTCCATAAACTTTACCTGTGCATAGGATAAACTGTATCTGATGAATCAAAGTTTTCTTGATTTCCTTTGCCGGGTGTCTTTCCAATGCAGAGACCACATGCACTTCGAACATATAGAAACGCTCTCTTAGTTTACGGAGGAATTCCTTGGAATTTTATTCTTGACCATGTTCATTACAATATTGGAAGGTAGTTATGGCATTCATTTTCCTAATAGTTTTTCGTATATATTTGAATAATAGGGGGCCTTGTGATAGACGGAATTCTTCCAGTTCTGATTTCTCAAAATCCATCATATGGTTCAGGTGGTATGCTTTTGTTGGAGTATTTGATGTGTCTGTGAAGCACATGTTGGAGATTCTTGCATGCAGCCATCAGTCAGCGACAACGCAACATTTATTCCTGGGGAACTTCTTCGAAACTGTCGAGGTAGTTCACCTGGATTTGCTTCCCACTTTCTTTTTATTTGGCCAAACTCTGTTTTGTTCTTAATAGGTGTTTTGTTGATTCATCAGAATATGGGGAAGATATTTGAAGTTAACAAGCTTCAGCTTCCTGTTGTAAATATGTCATCCATCCAAGTTATTTTTGAAGATCACCGGACTTATGCATCATTTGCAGATGTAAGTTGGAAAACCTTAGACAAACTCCTGCTGCACACCCACGAGATTCCAAGATATTTATTAACTGGCTAGATCTCCCAATTCTACATTTAAATTTCACGACCTTCCTCAATCCCCGTAGAACTCTTTTAAGCTAGATTTGCATGACTTCATTACAAATTCAGCTTTGGTAGAAAATAAAGGATGTTTACCTTGGAGATTCAATCACAAATAATTAATTAACTCAGTTTTTTATATTGTTTCCATCAAGCAATGGATTAATAATTGGTAGCCAACGCTAAATAAGAATGAACTATTGGACATATTTAACCTTGTTATTGCATGTTTTTTATACTTGGAATTACCAGTTTACTTGTTATTCAACAACACTTAGTTTCCGTTCTTATTTTTGTGTTCTTCTCCAATTTTCGAAGTAGTCGGATTTCGACGAAATTAATTTTATAAAAGTGTACATTAAATTTCAATTAAATCGATATAAAGGACTTATAATATAAAACTCGAAGAAAGTTGATCATAAGCGTTGCATGCATTTTGATGCACCGCGATAAAATTTAGGCAAATTTTCAAAGTCGTTGGTTTTTGACGAAAATGATTTTATAAAATAGTATATGAAATTTTGAGCAAATCGGTTCGGTCCCCTTAAAGCTCTAAATGGCTTTGGGAAGAACAAATGACCAATTTGCCCTCACATGCCTTTATTTTTCTTTAGGATTCTTAAGGGCTATTAAGTCATTTAGGAAAAATTTTCAAAACTTATTTGATTTTTAATTACAAATCTATGTGAAATTCCATATATGTCATTTATACCAATTTCTTCGAAATATTATGTACAATTTTATAAAATTATTTTTGTCGAAAACTGACGACTTTGAAAATCCACTTAAATTCCGTCGCGGCACATCGAAAAGCGTGCGATGTCTAAAATTAACATTTTCAGGTTTTACAATCATGACATATAAAAAATTTCCCACGTTTTGGAAATTAAAATCGCCAAAGTTCCATAATATAAAAATTACTTAATAGCCCATGAAAGTCTTAAGGAAATTTTTTCAGGTAAGGGTAATTAAGTAATTTGAAAATCTCTAACCGCCTGATGCAATAAAAAAGATCGCAAAAATATATAAAAACTAGATCTTTCTTTTAGAATAAGAAAATACAATAATTAAGCAAAACACAACTTAACTTTCATATTATAAAGACAACACATACAAACTTATAACATAAAACATCCAAAACTACATTTCCTTGAGAAGAAAGATACAAATGGGGTGGTCACTTTCGGATAGAAGAATTAGATAAGAAGTCTGAGACGGAATCGTAGAGAGGATAAGAGAAATGGAACAAGCTTGCAAGCTTTTCCGCAGGTTTTTTTGCTCCAAAAATTACTTCATATCATCCTCTATTTTCTTACAAAACAACCCATATATATAGGTGACAAGAGGCAGCCAAACAACCCCATTTACCTCCAACCAAACCAATCAGGAAAGGGGAAACAGAAGGTCAGCATGTGGCTCCAGGAGCCGTATCTGAAGGGACCACACAGGGGAGAGGAATGGGCAACCACGGGACAGGAGCCAGGCGGAGAAACCAAACGGGCAATAGAGAGGGGGAGGGGGGAATGAACCTGATTTGACATTTATGAACTAATTTTAGAGGAAGAAAACAATAAGTAACCAAAGGGGAAGCTCAAACCGAGCTACCAAACCCAAACAAGGAACCAAATCAACCCAAAAAACAAGAAACATCTATTGCCCACCCCTTTGCCTACATCAAATTCTTCCTCGGTTGAAAGGGCTCATCTCCTGATGAGGATGCTTGAATACGTTTCTGACGAGATGAAGGCGCCGCATCTAGCTCTTGCATTATGGCCGCATACTTCTTCATGATTTTTTTTACATCTTCAGGATAATTTATCTTTCTAGCTTGAATTTGGCCCGGAGATTTTGCATTTTCTTTTCGTATTTTTTCGTACATAATTGCATCTTCATATGAAGTTTGTATAATTCGTTTTGTAGCGGATCGGTAGAATCTCCTTGTGGCGGAATTCATCTGTTGATTGGAATTTGGAATTCAGGATTTCTTGGCTGATTTTCACCCACAACTGACTCATTATCTTCATGTTTTTCCAGTTTCCTAAATACTTACAAAAAAACACGAACAACCTAGGCTCTAATACCAAATTGATGCAATAAGAAAGATCACATAATACATAAAAACTAGGTCTTTCTTTTATAATAAGAAAATACAATAATTAAGCAAAACACAACTTAACTTTCATATTATAAAGAGGACGCATACAAACTTATAACATAAAACATCTAAAACTGCAATTCCTTGAGAAGAAAGATAGAAATGGGGTGGTCACTTGCAGATAGAAGAATTACATAATAAGTTCGAGACGAAATCGTAGAGAGGAGAAGAGAAATGGAACAAGCTCTCAAGCTTTTCCAAGAAGAAAACCGTAAGTTTTTTGGCTCCAAAAATAACTAAATATCATCCTCAATTTTCTTACAAAACTACCCATATATATTGGTGAAATGAGGCAGCCAAACCGCCCCATTTACCTCGAGCTGAACCAATCAGGAAAGGGGAAACAAAAGGTCAGCAGGAGGCTTCAGGAGCAGTAGCCAAAGGGACCACACAGGGGAGAGGAACATGCAAACACGGGGAACAAAACAGCCAACCATGGGGCAGGAACCAACCACAGGACATGAGATAGGCAGAGAAACCGAACGGGCAACAGAGAGGGGTAGGGGTGAATGAACCTGATTTGACATTTATGAGCTGATTTTAGAAGAATAGAGGAGGCGGACAAGGGACGACGACAAGGTTTCGTGGCGGCAGAGGCGGTTTCCAACGACCAATTTTGGGGAAAATTGTGATGGGAGATTCAAGGAAGACTAAAGTATGTTTATAAACAAGAATATCCTCCATTTCACATATATTTCTTGAGGAAAAAAATTCTAGGGTTTCTCCAAAACCTAAAATTTTTCATGAGGATTGTTAGGGAGAGTTGAAGGAATGATTTAGAGCATATAAATGAAGTTTTCCGAAATTTTTAGTGGGTTTGGAAAATTAGGGTTTGTCATATTTTTGGATTTTTAAGAAATTTTTTAATGCTTTTTGTTCCTAATGATCTTAGGAATAATTTTAATGAAAGAAATTTAGTATTTTCATAAAATTGTAATTTTCCAAAATTTTAAATTAAAATGATCCGAAAATAAATTTACCTAAGTATTAATTAGATTTAAGGGAAATTTTTGTATGGTTATATTATGAAATTAGTGAATATATGATTTCTAAAATTTTGGTTTTTGAGTAAATCCGAAAATTAAGTTTATTTTAGTTTAAATTAGGAAATTGTTATCTCCTTTAGTTATCTACAAGTTTTCCCTCTGCTGTGCTTAATTTTCATTACGGTAACATGCTATATTGATTGATAGATTAATTGTTAGCATTCTTTCTTGAGAATATTAACTTTACCTTTTATCTCTTGTCTGTAAAATGCATTTTGTGTGTGGAATCAGCTTAATGTGAATGAAAACTTGTGGAAATCATTGGAGGAGGAAATGGTTCCATTGGCGTCTACTATTAAATCGAATTGGCTTGAATCACAGTCAAAGTTGTCCTTAAAAAAGTATGATGACTCTCATGTTTGTGTTGTTGGAGGTATGGTTTAACTTTCAGTCTGATTTCTGATTGGTATTCATAATTTTGCAGCCCCCTTAAATTAGGGACAGGAATTGTGGATTTTAAAGTACCAATATTCAGCATGGTTATATTTTGTGTTACAATTATTTTATATTGAAAAGTGTGTAACCTATGCATATAACTATAAGTTTTTGAGAGAGCTTACAGTTTTTGATGTATAAAATTGAAAGATGTAGCCACTTCAGCTCCAGCTTTGTTTGGGATTGCTTTTGGTTTTATTTTTAGAAAACAGGTTAAAGGAATCATAAAGCAAGTTTAATAAGTCATTTTTTTGTTTCTGAAAACAAGTAGAGTTGTTTTGATGTTAGTTGTGTACCTTTCTCCATTCATTTCTATTCATCATAGGCCTGCTTTAGTCATGTAGTATTGTCTACGCCAAATCTTGCATTAGTAATGCCAATGTGGTTGTTTATCTGGAGTTGAATAATTGTTTTTTTTTTATCTCACTAAAACATCAAGCATACTTGAAATTTTGAAACAAGAAGTTTTATGAATGCTACCTTACGTGATTGATTATTTTATTTCACAACCCAACTTCATGCGTGGTTAACGTTTTTAAAATGGCATGTTTTATACATGCTATCTCAACACTTGAGTGCTTTTCTGTTTTTTTTTTTTTAAACAAGAGCTGGCTTTAGAGTTCTAAAAGCTACTCAATACCCTAAGAGATAGTAGGCAAAGTTCATTGGAAATAGGCTGATGGTTTTTGCGTGACTTATAAATTTGCTAAACGATGTACCCTTATTATGCTTTAAACTTTGCTAGAGTGTTTTTTTTTAATGTTTTGTTTTGCTAGGCATACTTAATTTTTATGTTTAATTGCTTGCAGAAGCAATAAAACTCGATATTGAGTTCAGAAATCCTCTTCAGATTCCAATTTCTGTTTCCAGCCTTTCTCTTATTTGTGATATCTGTGAAAAATCTAAAGAGGCAAAGATTGGTAAATCACCTTCCCTTCTATATGTCAGTAATTCAGTCAGTGCATTTCTTAACTTTCTATAATATTTATATGTTAACTATGCAGATGGAGGTACATCTTCTTTTGGATTCAATGATATTGAAGAACTTAAGGAGGCTCCTAGTTGTAGGTACAGGCTATTTAAGTTTCATTGTTCTCGGCTGGAACCTTTTTGGTTTTCACCTGATTTTGAATTCTGAGAACTTACGAATTGATTTTCTTACTACAGTTTATTATGATTGTTGCAGAAGTAGAATTGGTGATGTTTCAAATCTTGTCCTATCAGAGTTTGATCTGGTTCTTGGTGGAGGTGAGGCTAAAAGGGTAGGTTTTGCATATTGCTAAATATTCTTATCTCACACGCCTATGAACCTGCTAGACCCTCAAGTATCAAATGCTTGAAGTTTTTTTTTTTTTTTCAACTGATATAAATGGAGTAGAACAAACTGCTGGTTGAAATTTGGTAAAATTGCATATAGATATAGGCTAGATCCCTCATTCTCTAACGTGTTGTAATTAGGTATCTATTTTTCTGAATTCACTCCCCAAGCAGGCTAGTATTTTTTCTTCTGGTAAACTGTTATGACAATAAAATAGAGTTTTTTGTGCTTTTAAAATATATGGGTTGTAAAAGCGCTCAGGGACTCCAGGGATGATCCCTCTCTTAGAACTCTTTTAGGGTCTAGGAATCTTATGTTGATCAACATGAAGTTTTTAAAGGTAGAACATTTCATTTTCCCATATATTTCCCATTGGCAAAATTTTGGACTATTTGAGGTTTATATTGGATTTAAGAAATATTGGCTTTCAATGGGTGCTAACTTTTATAATTTGTTTCATCTCAAATATTATATTTGAGAATATTCTCGATTAAAGATATTCATGTGCATTTTGAATTATTGATGATTTAGTTTTGTAATTTGTCTATGGTAGAAGCAATGTTTAAAATTGCGTATTCGGGTATTGAGGCGTTTTTCATTCGTGAGGCGAGGCGTAAGCCTCAAGGCGTTTTGAGGCGTAAGCCTCAAAATCAAAAGATTGTGTAAACATAAAATGATAAATTTTTTATATACTAATGAGTGAATAATATAAAACATAAAAAAGTATAAGATATGAACTGAAATCAAAACATCTCAATAATAAGACAACATGAAATGTAGTTCAACTCAAAATTCTATCTTTTCTAAATCCCAGTAATCTTTTCATTAACATATAATTCTAATTTCCAAAAATAAATAGCAATGACATATCACATAAGAACTCATAAGTCATCAGCACTGTCATCACTAAGGGGTTCTTTATTTGAATCATCATTATGATGAACGACTCTCTCCCCTTCCTCCTCTCCTATAGAGTCCAATGTCGGGCATTTACTTCAAGATTTATGTAAGTTTTAATATATATAGCGTGAGGCGTAAGCCTCATGCCAGTGAGGCGAGGCGGGCCTCAACCAAGTTGAGGCGCAAGCCTCATAAAAAAGACTTGAGGCGTAAGCATCAAGGCGTTTTTTATTGGAATTGCGCAAAGGCGGGCCTCAAGGCGAGCCTCATATTGCGCAATTTTAAACCATGGGTAGAAGGATGAATTGTCAACCTGATTATATCAGAGTTTTTCTTAAGGCATCCTGTGTATTCTAAAGATTGAAGTCTATATCATAGGTTTGACTCAAGGCGATTCTTGAGATTTCACTACTTATTTTAAGCATCTTCATGTTAATAACATTATGATGCTTCTACAAGGTGCTTTTAATAGGGACCTTCAAGTTGACTTGAGATATGAGTTGGAATGCAGTTGAGTTAACGGAAGATCTTGAGCATAAGGTAAGTATTTGGTTTGCACATAACATATGAGTCTTGATTTTGGGAAAGTCAAAGCTTACATCCTAAGGCATGTGGATGGATTTTGAATTTGGTGGATGTTACTTTTGTTTGATCTTTTCTAAATACTGTTTTATAATGTGTGATTTTGCACCTCTATGTTTTCTTTTAGAGATGTAAGACTCGACCCACGAATCACCCCTTGAGGACTCAAGTGAGAGATCACCCACTAGTTTTGAAACAAATTGGATCAGTCAGATTTGAAGTTTATTTATATTGAATAAACTTGACCCATAAATTCAAGGGAAGTTGAGGTTTACATTTCCTTATTTTATTGAGAAAATATGATGGATTCAAGATAATTGTATCTGGTATTAACTTGGCTTGGAGTTTGGGATTTAGTAAAACTAGGGCTCATATCCTTGTATTTTGTAGAGAAGGCTTGACGAAGCTCCAAATACATGCATGTGGTATAAACTCGGCTCGTAGGATTTAAGATTTGCTCGGAGTTTTGATCTTAGAAAACTTAATGGCTTTGTGTTGATTCAATTATTTGTTTGTGTGGATATGATGAATCATATCTTTATTTTTTAACAATCTAAGGGGCTTGAAATTATTTATTTAATTTTAAATGTGGTTTGAGATTCTTTAAGGCAATAATTTAATAATCACCTAATGAAATAAGTACAACATCAAGCAATTGCAAAGAAAAAGCTTGTTGAAAAAGAAAATACCAAAATACACCTTCCAATATAAGTTGATAGTAATGAAGCAAGAGTAGTCTTGGTGGAAGTATATAACCCTCATTTAAAGCATCTTGTTTGAAGCCTGGTAAACCTTGGAGAGTGATGATATATTTTCTTTCTATTTGTGCTCCTCAGTTTATAGAGAATTGGAAGCATTTTTTTCAATTATTATTCTATAGTTGAAATACTAACATCAAAGCCATCAAATTATGAATCTAGATCACCAATGTACCCAACAAGAAGATGATCATAGGGAAATAATACATCTTTAGGATTTGGATCAATTATATTGTTATGCAACCTAAAGACAAACCTTGCTTTAGGAATACAAATGAAAACACACTTCCTTTTTTATTCACATAAACCCTTAAATAACACAAACAAACACAATAAAGAAGTACTAACACAACTTATAACTTATAATAGAACAAGACACGACACAACTTAAAATTTACAATTTAGAGAAGAAAGATGCATGTGGAATGAGAATCGTGGAGAGAAGAAGAAGATAGAAGTCTGAGACAAGTTTTAAAAGATAGGGAGGTAGAAAAAAATAGCACGCAAGCTATATAAACTCGTAGGTTTCACTTTCCAAAAATCATCACAAATCTCTCTCCCTTTCTCTAAAAGATGGAGAAAAAAAGTATAAATGCTCTCCTTAATGAGCCACCCAAATCAGCCAATAGAATAAACCCAAAACTGCCCACTTAATGAGAAATTAAAACACTTTAGCATAGGAATCAACAAGGAACAGTTCACGAACAGCGAGCTTATGAAAGACAAAATAGCCACATATGACTGCATCATCTTGTGTGCAAATGAGGTGTTGGTCACCTCCTTTGTGGTAATGACACCCAGGGATGATTTTGATTCCATGATAGGATATAATGTTAGTTCAAAGTTGTATACAAACCATATCAAAAGTAGTTAGAACTTTTTAGCTGATGTTGATCATTTGAATTTTCCCTTATATCCTGATTGCTAGCATTATTAATAAAAAGGGAAAATCCAAAATTAATCCTTGGATTATTCCTATGTGGCTAATTTAGCCCCAAATTATTGCATCAATCCATTTTTTTCTATCGACTATATAAACCTTCTTCCAAATAGTCCCTTCGGGATTAAATTGAGATAAATTTTATATAATTGAGGGACTACTAAGTTGGGATCAATCTTATATCTCAATTTTCATCATTTTCTTCTTGATGGAGCATTTCGATTAAATTTTGCATAGTTCTGGGATTAATGATGTAATGCAATCATGTGTGGATTAAGAATTGCAAATTAGAGATTAATAATAGACTATTAACTTTGCATATTAACCATAAATTCTAGCTTTCTCAAGTAGGGTTCAAGAAAAAGCAATGATTGATTAAGACATGGTGATTGACTACAATTGAAGATTATAAAACCTTTACGCAATAAAACCAAAAGAAATACAAGTAATGTAAATAGCTAGGAAAACAAAAGCCACACGTTTAATATATAGATCCTTCACCTTGAGGTCCTTTAATTACTCTCGAAAATAGGGCTAGCGGAGGAGGATTGTAAGCAAACTCAACGATGCCATTAGTAGACAGGTGATACCAAGGGGACTCGTCGCCGGGGAAGAAGTCGGAATTGGAGGAGCGGGTGGGCGACTGTCAATGATCCACTCGGAGTCTGGACGTTGTCTGTCGATGACGTGTATGAGGGTCGGTAGGATCCGATCCAAGGAAGTTCCAACGGTGTCGTCGTCGGAGTCAAATCCCGCGTCGAAAAACGGCGATTGTAGGACGTCAAGATTACCGTGGGCGTCAAACACAAGCCCCCATTCTAGCTCCGGATCCGCCATGCATCTTGCCGGGAGGGATGAATGCATAATAGTTGGGAAGGGAGAGGGAAAAGGTGGCGGGTTGTAGGAGGAGAGGAATTGCCTTGAGAGCTTGAGATCATCAACTAGAGAAAGGCTCCAACGACAGTAAACTGAAAATTCTGCCGTAGTTTCAGTTTTTAATAGAGGTGGGAGGGAATTAATTTGAGGAATTCAAATTAATTCCAAAGGGATTGATGGGGCGGCAAAGGGGAAGGAATTTGGGCTGATTTATTGGTGTATTTATGTCATTTGGAAGAGAGAGAAGGCCAATAAAGGGGGCCGGCCATATGAGGAGGGGGAAGAGGGATTAAGGGGTTATGAGAGTGGGGCCCAAGTTTAAGTAAGTAAATCAATTAGATCTGAATTTTTAATTTCAGATTTAATTAGAGCTTAAGTAACTTCCCAAAATTTAAAATTGAGAGGGAGACCAAATTTGGATTTAATCTCTTTAATGGGCTGGATTAATTGCATAATCACCAATTAGGAAAGTTAATAACTCATGAGATTTGAAATTCAAACGGTGGGAAGCTCCAAGAAGGGGAGGCGGCGGAAATGGGCTGCTGGGCTGTTCGGCGGGTGGCCAGCTGCTGGCCGTTGGGGGCTGGCCGGCGGCGGCTAAATTTCAGGCCGGCGGTATTGGGTCACTTGGAGGAGGCGGCGGCAAGAGCAAGGGGAGGGAGAAATGGAGTTCTAGGAATTCGACGACTACGGATTTACTAACCTCAATTATCTTCACCTTGAATTTCCACAAGATTAGGTAGTATGAAAACTAGAACTCACAAAGAGATCTAGTTTTTCCGACGAACTCTCTAAGAGATCTTGGAGGGAGGAACTCACAAAGAGAACAAGTAGTAAATTTCATTTCATAAAAAACTAACTATTACAATCCCTCATGCCTCATATAAA